ACAATGGGTTTTGTTTCACTTAGCCATTCAATGAATGGGACTGTGGCCAAGGATGCAAAGCCGTTGATTATTGAGACACTGGGGCAGCATGATGCAAAATGTACAATATTTGGCTCCATCTTGTATTTGGGGAGGGTAGTGGGTGTGTCTAAGTTGACTGTGTCTGTATGTTTCGCTGCACTTTGTGCTGAAGGAATACCATATACTCTTGTCTCCTTTGGGCAGGATGTCACTAACCTCCGCATATTTCTTGAGTGATGTAGCTGCTTCCTTTCAAAAGGTGGCTTAATAAATGTTTTCCTTTCACAAGGCTTCATCAAAATTGGTTTGGTTTCATTTAGCCACTCAGGCCATGACACTTCACTCAAGGATGCAAATCCTATGATCCGTGAGGCTGTGGAGCAGCAAGCTACAAAATGTAACATATTTGGCTCCATCTTGTATTTGGGTGAGGGAGCAGGTTTGTCTAAATTGACAGTGTTTATCTGTTTGGTTGCAGTTTGCATGGAAGGAATACCATGTACCCTTGTCTGTTTTGGGCAGGATTTCACTGATCTCAGCATATCTATCCAGTTGGTGAGGCATGGCTCCTCCTGTCCAGTAGGTGACATCATCAATGTTTTCCTCTCCATGCATTTCATCACAATGGGTTTTGTTTCACTTAGCCATTCAGTGAATGGAACTGTGGCCAAGGATGCAAAGCCTTTGATTCTTGAGGCACTGGGGCAGCATGATGCAAAATGTAACATATTGGGCTCCATCTTGTATTTCAATGAGGGAGCAGGTTTGTCTACGTCAACTGTGTTTACCTGTTTGCTTACAGTTTGTATGGAAGGGATACCATGTACCCTTGTCTGTTTTGGGCAGGATTTCACTGATCCCAGCATATCTATCCAGTTGGTGAGGCATGGCTCCTCCTGTCCAGTAGGTGACATCATAAATGTTTTCCTCTCCATGCATTTCATCACGATGGGTTTTGTTTCACTTAGCCATTCAATGAATGGAACCGTGGCCAAGGATGCAAAGCCTTTGATTTTTGAGGCAGTGGGGCAGCATGATGCAAAATGTAACATATTGGGCTCCGTCTTGTATTTGGGGAGGGTAGTGGGTGTGTCTAAGTTGACTGTGTTTACCTGTTTGGTTACAGTTTGTATGGAAGGAATACCATATACTCTTGTCTCCTTTGGGCAGGATGTCACTAACCTTAACATATGTCTTGAGTTATGTAGCCGCTTTCTTTCAATAGGTGGCTTAATAAATGTTTTCCTTTCACAAGGCTTCATCGTAATTGGTTTGGTTTCATTTAGCCACTCAAGCCATGACACTTCACTCAAGGATGCAAATCCTATGATCCGTGAGGCTGTGGAGCAGCATGATGCAAAATGTAACATATTGGGCTCCATCTTGTATTTCAATGAGGGAGCAGGTTTGTCTACGTCAACTGTGTTTACCCGTTTGCTTACAGTTTGTATGGAAGGGATACCATGTACCCTTGTCTGTTTTGGGCAGGATTTCACTGATCCCAGCATATCTATCCAGTTGGTGAGGCATGGCTCCTCCTGTCCAGTAGGTGACATCATCAATGTTTTCCTCTCCATGCATTTCATAACAATGGGTTTTGTTTGACTTTGCCATTCAATGAATGGGACAGTGGCCAAGGATGCAAAGCCTTTGATTCTTGAGGCACTGGGGCAGCATGATGCAAAATGTAAGATATTGGGCTCCGTCTTGTATTTCGGAAGGGTAGTGGGTGTGTCTAAGTTGACTGTGTCTGTATTTTTAGTTGCACTTTGTGCTGAAGGAATACCATATACTCTTGTCTCCTTTGGGCAGGATGTCACTAACCTCCACATATTTCTCGAGTGATGTTGCCGCTTCCTTTTAGTAGGTGGCTTAATAAATGTTTTCCCTTCCCGATGCTTCATCACAATTGGTTTGGTTTCATTTAGCCACTCAGGCCATGACGCTGCACTCAAGGATGCAAATCCTATGATCCGTGAGGCTGTGGAGCAGCAAGCTACAAAATGTAACATATTGGGCTCCATCTTGTATTTCAATGAGGGAGCAGGTTTGTCTAAGTCAACTGTGTTTACCCGTTTGTTTGCAGTTTGTATGGAAGGAATACCATATACTCTTGTCTGTTTTGGGCAGGATTTAACTGATCCCAGCATGTCTATCCAGTTGGTGAGGCATGGCTGCTCCTGTCCAGTAGTTGATATCATCAATGTTTTCCTCTTCAAGCATTTCATTACAATGGGTTTTGTTTCACTTAGCCATTCAATACATGGGACTGTGGCCAAAGATGCAAAGCCGTTGATTCCGGAGGCACTGGAGCAGCAAGGTGCTAAATGTATGGTATTAGGCTCCATCTTGTATTTGGGGAGGGAAGCAGTTGTATCTAATATGACTATGTCTGTATGTTTAGTTGCAATTTGTGTAGAAGGAAGACCATACACTCTTGTCTCCTTTGGGCAGGATGTCACTAACTTCCACATATCTCTTGAGTGCAGTAGCCGCTTCCTTTCAGTAGGTGGCTTAATAAATGTTTTCCTTTCCCGAGGCTTCATCACAGTTGGTTTGGTTTCATTTAGCCACTCAGTCCATGACACTGCACTCAAGGATGCAAATCCTATGATCCGTGAGGCTGTGGAGCAGCAAGCTACAAAATGTAACATATTGGGCTCCATCTTGTATTTCAATGAGGGAGCAGGTTTGTCTAAGTCAACTGTGTTTACCCGTTTGTTTGCAGTTTGTATGGAAGGAATACCATGTGCCCATGTCTGTTTTGGGCAGGATTCCACTGATCCCAGCATATCTATCCAATTGGTGAGGCATGGCTCCTCCTGTCCAGTAGGTGACATCATCAATGTTTTCCTCTCCATGCATTTCATAACGACGGGTTTTGTTTCACTTAGCCATTCAATGAATGGAACCGTGGCCAAGGATGCAAAGCCTTTGATTTTTGAGGCAGTGGGGCAGCATGATGCAAAATGTAACATATTGGGCTCCCTTTTGTAGTTATTTGGAAACACTGGTAGTATATCATTTCCAATTTTCACTTTCTGTTCCAAATGAAGTGACTCCTGATATAAACCTGGTCTGTTAACATTCATAGATGCTGTAACAGATATTTTTGCATCATCCGAAAATGAAAAAACGTTCTGTACCCTTGATCCATGAAACGTTAAACTGTTCTGTAGCAAAGATGGGAACCCTTGACTCCTAGCCTCCCTTGGACAAGATGGTACCAGTAAAACCATTTTTTTCGCCTGCTTTTTGTAATATTTTGATACAACTTGTTGTACAATCTCGCTCTTTAAATGTTTTTTCCAGATTATATGTTGATCTTTTGGCCAGCATTTTTCTTCATTCAAATGCAATTTGGATGATATCCCAGCAATATTAGTCAAGCCTGAAGTGGTTTCCAAGAAAGTGAATAGTCTTTTGTTAAATTGAGGCATCACATGATTAGACACATAATATGACCGAGTGGATGGTAGCTTTTTATCCTCCATTTCTTTGATATAATCTTCTCGGTGAAGACCACGCTCAGGGAATGAGATTTTACTCATTTCTGTTCGTTTTTGCAAAACACAATCACTGTTCATAAGGTATTCCATTGATTGTTCTGGCTCCTCCTTTCTTGCATAATTTTGGAACTGGTGTTCAGCAATATTTCTTTGCGTTTGATATGGAAACTCTGCTGCATCAGTAGAAATCTGGCATGATGGCAGTTGTAAAACAACGTTTTTATCTCTAAAAGAAGATAAATACAAAATAACAGTCAAAATGCACAACAGAAAAATGCTTTGTTTGAACATTACCTCCAACAACTACGACATATTTTCATCATGATATTATGCAATTGTAAGCATGCATCTGTAAAAGACAGGTTACCATGGGTAGAAGAAGGGTCTAGGATGATAGATCAGACAAGAATCTTCACTGTTAACCTGTTTTAATTGGATTTTCATCTTGTTTCTCGTTTTAACTGTATTTTACAGCACTATATGTTTTATCTGAATGTTTGTTACTTTTGTTTGGTTTTTGTTTTTTACTTTGGCTCTAACTGTTTAATTTGAAAATGTTTTTTTGCAACTTAAGTGAATTGGATATGTTGGTTATAAAACGATTCTTAAAATGTAAACTGAACAAATATAAACATTTCACATATATATTTTTAAAGCTATTAAAGGTTAAATACAGTTATGGATTTCTGTAATGGGTGAGTAAAAAATCCTTCATTTTTTTGTTTAAAAATTGTGATATATTGTCAATTTATTAATATATCTATTTATCCAATTACTACTTAAAATTGTACAATAAACATTCAATCACAATTAATAAATCACGATAGAATTGTGAAATTAACTGTTCATTTACAGGCATGCAAACCACACCTAATGTTTAGAAGTCTTGGTGAGCAGAATATAAAAATGCATCAACTCACCTTGTGAATGAAGTTACCCCCTCCCTTTTAATCTTCTTTGTTGCATTCTTTGTTGACTCCGATGCTCTGCACAGCTCTTGCCTTACATTGAAGGAGCCTGTGGGGTCAAATGCTAAACAATTTGTTAAGTTTACCAGGACTAGTCATATTGGTATGAATGTGATGCATACATTCTTCATTCTTACTTGTAGGAATTGTGCATTGAGAAGCCTCTTTAGAAAGATTGCTCTGCTGTCTCTTGAATTCTAATTGGGAGAAAAGGCACACACATTTTTAACACTGATTAAAATCTTAATGATAATTTACTACAACACTGACAATATGTGCCCTCTGTTCATTTTCATCATGTAGGAAAATGAAGGGAGTTGACGGAAGATAAAATGAGATCTCTTCCCTAAAACATTAATCCAAACAGTTAAATGAAGAGTTTATACCATTTGGTTTTAATCAACACCAATGTTTGATATTTTCAATGCCCAGATTTTCTGCTTTTTTAATATTTTTGCTGTTAAAACGTGATTTTGAAATTAAAATGTTTTGACTAATATTTCTAAGGTACATGTATGTTTGTCGACATGCAATCATGTGCATGTATGACTAGTGAGTGAATATTGTTGAAATGTCTTGGGAATCTTTAGGTCTAAGGATTTCAGTTCATGCTTTCTTTCCTAAAAAATGTATTGCATTCTACATCAATAATTGTATTTCTCATTTTTGTTTAAATCGAAGTTTCTGTCCACTGTAGTGGTGATGTTGAGAGTTTTTGTTTTTGTGAATGAGAAAGAATGTGACCAGTTCTCTGTGAGTCTCTGTCAAATTTCTGTCATTGTGTTTTACTGCTAGAAATTGATCTTTTTTCCTAAAAAATGAATGATATGAAAAAAAATACTAGCATCTGAATTGATTGAACTGTCTCAGAGGTCAGATTTATTTTCATGCATAACTAGAGCAAAGTAATCTAGTTCTACCAATCACAGAAGCTGTGAAACTTTTACTTTTTAAGAACGCTTACCTATATAACTCATGTAATCTGAAATAAACCATTCCTATCAGAGATTTCAAGAAGGTAACAAACATTAGATGGAGCATGTTTTGAACTAGTTATAAGAACATAGGATGGGAAACAGGGGAGGGGAGAGAGTGAATCATTTTATCAAATTACACTTTTACGATCCTTGCACTCAAGGCTTTGGAAACAACTGTTGACCCCCTTAACCCCACCCAATCCCCAACCCTTAATATGTCCAATCATGGCCCATACAACCTTACAGGACCTCAAAGTGACCTGACGTGACTGGATAGGCCATAAAATCAAATAATTTGGTGTAAGGGAGATCTTATTTTCTCTGACGGTAATAATTATTTTGATGAGAACTTTAATGTTTTTTTGTTTACCTGCATCCTGCCTACTAGGGAGGGCAATAGCATTTTGGGATGGGTGAGGGACAGAGAAGGGGTTAGAATAACTTTTTGAGAGGTTTTCTTCCGTGTGGGGGACTTCAGATCCCCAGGAAGAAGCCTTTCCACTCTCTCCCTGTAGCTTCTGGTACTGAGACTGAGCAGTAGGCAGAGATGATGATGCTGATAGAGAAGGGTAAGGACAAGAGAGGAGAAGTAAATAGAAAAATCCAATATCAATTACTGTTTAAAACACGGACTATTGTCAAGTTTTATGTAACTACTGTTCAAGCCTGAAAGAATACATTTTAACATATCATATCATGATTTACAACACAACAAATATGCATCCTTTGTCTGTACCGCTCATTGGGACAGGGTCATAGGATCTTGGAGTGTATCCTAGCTGTCATTAAATGAGAGATAGGGGGCACAGTATGTTATAACACCACACAGTGATAAACAAAACACTCACTCCGACACCAATTTAGAGTCTTCAATTTAAATTAATGTTTTTGTATTGTAACAGGAAGCCCGAGTAACCAGACAGAACCTACACATAAATGGGGAGAACATTGAAACTTCACACATAAAGACACCCAGCTAAGGCTCGAACTGGTAACCATTTTGCTGTAACGCAGCACTGCTAACCACCATACAACCTTGCAACTCCACACAAAAACTGGAAAAAAAGCTATTAAAGGTTAAATACCTTTAATAGCAGATGGCCGCCCACCCTGAGCCATGGTTCTGCTCGAGGTTTCTGCCAGTTAAAAGGAAGTTTTTCCTTGACTGTGTCGCCTAGTGCTTGCTCATGGTGGGAATTGTTGGGTTTCTGTAGTTAACTTCAGAGTAGGGTCTGACCTGCTCTGTTTGGAAAGCTGTGAGACAACTGTTGTTGTGATGTGGCGCTATATAAATAAAATTGAATTGAATTGAATTAAATTTTTATTACTGACAGACCTTGCATATTGGAATTCATTAATATAAAAGACATCTATGGTACATAAATCTTGTAAAAATACATAATTTTCACCAAAATGTGGTCAAGAATAGTTCAGAAATTTATAATTTTCAGTGTAAACATGGTCAGTCATTTTTTAAAAACAATTAAACAAACAGTGCTGTGATGAGGAAACATTCTTTCCATTAAATTCTTACCAGTTTTCAAATGTACTCCAGATGGTGGGTGTGAAGGAATTTTTACCAAAGAAGAAAAAAAAGGGGTTTATTTGATAGATCTTACTACTAAACAGGTTATCCAGTTTGGACAAGAATATCCACAAGAGTCCAATTTAAATGCAGTGCATTATGAAATGTTCACTATTTAACCATAAGTTTTTTTATATCCCCAAAAAGCTAAATCTGATCACAACACAGGTTAGGTTTGAGTTTGGTCACAAAGATAGCAACTTTACATGTCATCTCTGTTCTCTCCGTTTTTCGTAGAAGCGCAGGTTGTCCGGGATAATTGGCAGAGGGTTGCAGAAATTTAGGAGAGAAGGTAGGCTGTGCTAAAGGAGCCTGAAATCTAGGGGACCTCCATTCAGTCTGCCAAGAAGCTGAAAAAAAGGAGCATGAAAAAAAAAAAATGGGAGGATGGTGTGAGAAGAAACACCGGTTCAGGCACAGTTAGAGATAGTTTGTGAAAGAGAATATAGGATGAAAAACACATCCCTGATCTAAGAATATCCGTTTACCTCTCTCTGGGGCAGAGGGTAGATTGAAAGGTTTGTTGAGGTCAGAGCCTAACTCCCCTACAGATGTGGGGTAAGCGCTGGGCTTTCTGGGAACTGCAGATATAAGATGGAAGAATCTGAGAAGAGCTGAAGATGAGGATCAGACACAGGATAAGGAAAATATAATATCCTTTTATAGAGCTGAAAAGCCTGAGCTCTGAAATTAAAGGAAAGGAAAACTAAGCTGGTTGATAAATATTTGGAGAAAAAAATATTTAAAAACTGCATACAGATGCTATTTGTTGTCCAGAGGATTGATGAAGTTTTAAAAGAATTTCTACTGAAAGCTGACTTCAATTGCGATCTGATAATCTAAATGATATCAAACTGGTTCATGTTCCCAGACATATATAGATAGCCATACCTTCACCAGTCATTATTCACCAGTACATTATATGGCATACATTATATGGTTTGAAAGATTATTAATATGTTTTGATTTCTCCTATAATTTGTTCAGTTGTCTCATATAAATCAGATCCTGTAATTTCTACATTTACTGATCAACAGACTCAAATTAAAAAGAGCCCAAAGCAATATTTTTTTTACCTATTAGTTTAAGTGAGTGGATAAAATCAGCTTTTCTTTACGATTTAAACCAACAACAGTAAAAAAAATAATGGTTAGGGAGCTATTTATTTAGTTCTTAGTTTAAGTTAACGTTTAGTCTACTGTTACACATATCTATCAATCAATGCCACTACACTATTTACACTTAATTTTTTATTAATCCTATGTATACATTGCATGTTCTGCTTCAGTAAACCCGATTCTGAGATGTTAAATTGAACTTTTTTGTTGATACATTTATACCTTAACCCCCATATGAATATGTGACATTTGATAAAACAGTGAACCCCATAATTGTATGAATAATATTTAGTAACATTAATTCAATCTATTGAGATGTTATTAATTTTGTGTGTCTGATAAAGAAGCAATATATACAAAAAGATTACATTACTTATATAACAACTAAAGAAGATGCAAGAGCAGTGATAGGACCATTGCAGTAAGGTGCGCACTTCAGCTATAGTAATTTTGAATGGACTGTATTTCTTTGACATTGAGGATGTTATTATTTTCCTTTGAGACACAAATAGTTTAATTTAACTGTTATATTTAAACTCAATTATAACTTTTCTTTTTAAATAACTTACAATTTGATAAAAAGAAATACAGAAAAATATCTAGGGTACCAATGAAGTTTACACAAGCATTTAAAAATAAATTGAAATATCAATATCCAAGGAAGGAAGATAGTGAGAGTGAAAAGTTGATTATGCACATAGCGGAACTGACCAAAAGTAAACCTAATCGGAGGGTAGATAAAAGGTTCTTAGAGGCACAGCACTGGTTGACAGAAGTAAGTCTTTACACTTACTGATGAGGAAGGAAAGACTGTGTTTGCATTGTTTTGCATTACCACAGACTGGAAAGTTCAGCCCCAATAGGTGGAGGAGGTGAAAGTGATTGGACAGGGTGACTAGAAACAGAGTGACTAGAAAAAAAGTTAAAGAAAAATTGGAATGTGACACAGGAGTTTCACACTCCATTGTGCATGTCATGACTTCATGCACAACATATTTTTTGTAGATACATATTATATAAATATATACAGTGAGGGAAAAGTTTTTCGCAAGCCACTGATTGTTCCTCTTCTTAGATCAGAGGTCTGTAATAGATGTACAGTACATATATATATATATAATAATGAGAAAATAAAAATAACAGTAACAAAAAACAGAAAGAAAGAGTTAGAGAGAAAAAACAGAGGTGTACTGAGATGCTGTATATACAGTATATTGAGAATCAGTGGAAGAGTTGATGAGTGCAGTGATGGGGGAGGGGGGTGGGTCATTGTAGCTAGTTAACACCTCAGAGTGAGATGAATGTGTAGTATTCACCTAAAATCCATAGTTTTTTTTAAATGCCCATGCATTGTCTCTAAGATGTGTTGTGATACATGACAAATTGAGTTTCAATAGCATGCATGCACAACATATTCCACAACCCTTTTACCATTACAGAAATACATACATCTAAACCTGTAACAATAAAACTGCATAACACTTACTCATAACTTAATAATCAGTGAAAATATAATTCACATATAATCAACTGTTTCCGTCAAAATTTTTAAGGGTGAGCTTAAAACAGCAATGTCACATATTGTTTTTTCCAGTCCAATTTAGCACAAAAACTACGAAAAACCTGCGACAAAACATCAGAGATGCACATAATATTGACGTGCATCAATGTCAAAAACAGTATTTATGTCACTCAAAAATATGACCACAGTTCGCTTTTTCCCATTCACGTCATAAAGTTTACCAATGCACCAAAAATTGACTGTGAGGAAGAGAAGAGACGACAATCAATGTGTTCCCGACACCCAGGAAAAGAATGCATCCATCTTGAAAGAACAAACAGATGGAAGCCATCTACAAAACCAGCAGCCCACAGATCCACATCACTGCAAGACAAGTGGCTGGAAATAAGCCATACATTTTAAAAAGCTGTCATAAGGATGTTTCTAATGACTCTCGTGCCATTCTTAGGCAATGTCATTGAGAAAGTTATGTAGCAACGACTTACTGACTTTCTCTTGTCTAACAACAAGTTTGATACTTTCCAATTAAGCTTTAGGCCCCACTACAGAACGAAACTGTTCTGATCAAGGCAGACATTATCCGTCTGAGTAAAGAGGCTGACAAAGTCTCAGTCTTAGTTCTGCAGATGTCTGCCTTGGTATGTTGGTGTGCAGTGTTTTGTTTGTTCATTTTGTGTTTTGCTAAATTGCTCAGAGCTTTTTCACAGGAAAGAATTCATAGACATAAGGGGAATACCACCATTGGATTTATTTCCTGGTTTACTATATCCGTCTATGGAATTATTGGACATTCTGCTCAAAGGTGCCTGCACTGTTGTTTACGCTGAAGGAGCATTAAACACAGTTGTAAGCGCAAAATGTGCACTCTGCTACCGGTAATATTTTTCACCAATATGCACTCAGTGTCCAACAAACTGTGCTTTCCCGTGCCGCGCTGTGACACTAACCACGTCTTGGTCCACCCGATTCCTGCTCACAGGCAGAAATTAAGACTCTGTAAACCTGTTGTGAGCAGATCAAATAAGTGAGACTGTGGAGGATGTGTTTGAACTGTACAGAATGCGACTGCAACCAACAGTCTGGATGGGTACAGAGGCTGTGACATCATACGTCAAGCTTCTCTGAGGACAGCTGTGGACCTTTACCTGTGGACCTGGGTGACTTGCAACAATAATAAACCCTATTCACAGCCAGAATCAGACAGATAGAAGAGCCATTCAGGAGTGGACATAAGGACTAGTGTAGAGAGTCACAGTGTGCGTATAGGAAGGCAGTAAGGGAAGTTAAACAAATTACTTCTACTGATGCTTTAAAGACAAAGTGACAGTCTCACCTAACCCAGCTCAGCGGGAGCCACAGGTCCTCCACTACCTCACCCCTCAGCACTCCCCTCCTTCCATCCCTCTGAAACAAATCACTCCATCCTAACAAACTCTTCAAGAGGTAGAACCATGGCAAAGCAGCTGGGCTAGACTATGTTTCTCCATCCACCCTGACCACTTCGCTGATTAACTGTCTCCAGTGTTGAAACATCTTAAACACCTCACCGGGCATCTGTCCGGCATAATCACTGTTCCAAAGAGGCCGAGGACTACAGGACTAAATTACTAGAGGCCTGTTCTTTGAGTGCCTGGTGCTTGTACACCTGAAGTCCATCACAGACTCCTTCCTGAACCCCCCTGCAGTTTGCCTGTCGAGCAGGGGTCTCAAACTCCCGGCCCTTGGGCTGGAAGTAGTCCAGGAGCCAGATGACTTTGTTGTGAACTAGGTAAAAGTAAATGCATTGTTCTACCAATAGCTGTTTCTCAGCACTTTCAGTGTTGCTTTGCTGCTTTTTTGTGCTACACTGGCACTGAAGTGGTCCTTGAGGATGGTATTGGCACCAGCCCCCAATTCACTTGGGTTTGAGATCTGGGCTGTAGGTCTGCAGATGACACTGTCAACATGGCCCTCCACATCATCATCCTAACCCTAACCCGTACCTCTACCCCCCCCACAGCTCCTTCTGTAGTCCCTCTACATCTATCTCTATCTCACCACTGACTCTGATCAGTGTTTCTGCTCTATATAGTTTATTGTCATTGTGATGATAAATGTAATATTGTGTCTACTCTGTAAGTCGCTTTGGATAAAAGCGTCTGCCAAATGCATAAACATAAACATAAACATAAACATCCTTCATGAAACTGAACTCTGACGGAACCTATACCAGGATCCGCCTCGCAGACATCACTTCTGCCTTCAATGCCATCATCTGTGCTATGCTACAGGACAAGACTCACAGTAGATCACAGACTTCCTGTAGGACCAGAAGCAGCCTGTGAGTCTGGAGAGCATGTCGCTGACCCCAGGGCCATGAGCACATGAACCCCAACAACTACGTTTTTCTTCTCTCCCCCAATCAGTCACCACAGTGGAGCACTTCTGCTTTCTGGGCACCACCATCAGCCAGGACCTTAAGTGGGAGCTGAATATCTGCTGTTTGACACAGTATGTTTTGCATTTCCACTCAGGGTTGCCCCTACTAAACAGTTCAAACACCTACATGGTACATTTAGCACCTACATGGTCGGCCGTCCATCAGGGCTGAGTAGGGCCAGCGACAGAGTCCCAGGCACTGATTGGCCAGGGGGTCACATGATTATATACTCTTTCAGGTAAACCCTGCCTATTCTAAAAATCGGGCAATAACTGTTGTACAATTCCATTATTTGTTATGCCTAATATACAAACCAACACTGTCGTCCAACACAGAAGTTTAGTCGGTTTATAGTGGCCGTAATGTCCTCGATTGTTGTTTAATTTCTCCAGCCAGCTATGAAAGGCAACGTATAGTTTATTTGAAGATGTTTTTGGCAGTCAAAAACATATAACAACAAGAAAGAATGGGACTTTGAGGAGAAATTTAAAAAGAGCAGTAATCCCCGTGAAGATCTGTGTTTGTTTCTGCAAATTATTCCAGCAATGATATATAAAACGTTTGACGAAAACAAAAACAAAAATTTAATGGAATAAAGGTATATCTTAATATTTCCATTCTCTTTTTCAGAACGTTGATGAATGTAACAAATATTGGTCTTCATTATTCTCTTTCCTTAACAAAATAAAAACGTATTAATAAAATTTAAATTAATATGAATAAATACAGTAATGTCAAATTAAAATCTTAACTTTGTATACTCATTTGATACCCCTCCAGTTTAGATGACACTCAGGCTACCGTGAACAAACAGAAAATAATGTAAACATCTTTTATTTATTTTGCTAGTTTGTAGTTATATATGCAAATATCCCCTTTTAGGGATGAATAAAGGAATATCTGGTCTTATTACTTCACAGACAATGTGCATCAAACACTATAAAAATGACCTGTGATCACAGAAACTTCATCAGCTCACAACAATACTTAAATGTGTGTTCAGTATTACCAGTAAAATTAGTAGCTTGTCCACTCCAAACGCTGGCTCTTGTCTCCTCACTGACTTCATCTTCACTTTCATTAAAGTCATCCAGATTACCGATGTCACCTTTTTTTATGCTCATTAAACTGGCCAAACTTTGCATGTCGTCATCCCTTTGAAAAACAACGGCAGATTATTGCATGCTGAAGAACATTCATTCTGGGCAAACAATATGATTTGACTATTCAAAGAAATTAACTTGCTCCAAAAAACACTTACGTGGCTTTGCCCTCCTTAAGAAAGACACAAGACAGGTTCAGTTTCAGCGTGGCTTCAATCACTTTCACGGACAGGGGTTTAAGCTTCAGTGTTACTTCATACTGTGCTGGAGTTGCACTGGCATACATTTTCATGTTGATGTTAGCCGATGCTAACACTTTCCTGCGGCCCTCTGTCTCCTGTTTTAAAAAAAAGTGGGAAACAGGGTGTCAAACTTTCCTCTGAACACTTTCTACAAACCCATAAAATGTTGTGAAAAGCAACAGGGATGGTGGTCCCCCTATTTAAAAAGGGGGGACCGCAGAGCTTGCTCTAACTACTGCAGAATCACACTCTTAAGCGTCATTGGTGAGAATTGCGTAATTCTCACCGGGAGATAAAGTGCTTGTATTGCTCCCATCTGCCAGCTCTAAATTACCCACCAAGTGGCAAGGTCCCTTTGTGGTCACACGACGAGTGGGTGACGTTGATAATAATAATAAATTATAATAAAAATACATTTTATTTGAAGGCGCCTTTCTCGGCACTCAAGGGCAGCGTACACAGATACATAAAAAAACATTAAAAGAAACAACAATAAAAGTCTATCAAATCAATAAAGTAGACAAAGACACTCCACCTCCCCATGTTTCGCCAGACTCACTTATTTGGCCCATGTGATGAATGGGAAGAACTCTGCTGGCTGAATGGCATGATCTGGTGTCATGGAGGTCCTACATGTCTTGTGAGGCAGATCATATTGCACTTTTGAATATCTCTCTGGTACCTTATCCAGGCCCCTGAGGTCACTGGCACCAACTTGAGAATTCCAAAAGCTACGTTTTTCTGGTTCACGTCAGCCTTCACCACTGCCCCTGCCTCAGACTGCTTTTGAGCCACAGATTTCTGTCAAGCCCCTAACTTCTCCCATACCATGTCCAGCTCGTGAGCACTTCAACTCAGCCCCGCCCTAGCTCTGTGACTTCAATTCAGCCCAAGCCTGGTCACAACTGCCTCTTAACCCTGGATTTAAGTTTTCAATTCAGTCCCATTCTTCATCAAAGTCCTCAGTCTTCAGAGCTCCCCTCCATGCATTACAGTCAGGGCCCACACTGCCTGAGTACCCACCACTTCAGACTCATCTAAGGCTACGACATGGATCTATGTCCAGGTAGGGAACGCTCCTCGCCTTCATGTTCCTGTGAGGGTAGGAATGTGGAACCAATCTCCCATTCGCCTTGTTCCAAAAGAGGATTTCTCTGTTACTGTTTCTAAGGGACCATAGGCAGACCCATCTTTATCTATTCTTGTTGTTGCATTAGAGTGGACCCAGGTGAACACTCCTTTATCTGCTCATATTCCAGCTCCAGCTCCTGACCCTCTGTTCTGCATTTTAGGTGAATATTACAATAGAACCACTGTCTCATTTGGTTTGACATTGAAAGCACTCTGTAAAACTGTAACACTTTTCTATTTCTCAAATTCAGATTCTTATTCATATGTTAATTATTGTTTGCGTTGTTGATATATAGGTAACAAAATGTTTATACTGTACCCCCACTTTGTCAGCATGTGACATCGCCCTCACAAATCTTCATAGGTATGCAATTATCTATTGTAGATGTCTGCTGCAATTTAATGCCAGTGCCATTAAAATCCAGCAAAACAGCATATGTAAGCCAACATTTGTAAATGTGTATTTCTTAGATATTTTTATTTCGCCATATCACAAAAATAAATGTGAAAAAGAAAGTCTCTGTAGTAATAGAAAATAACAGATCAATGTTGGACACCATGCAAGAGGGTTCTGGGTTTGAGTCCCAGGGGACCCAGGACCTTTCTGTGTGGAGTTTGCATGTTCTCCCTGTGTCTGCGTGGGTTCTCTTTGGGTTCTCCGGCTTCCTCCCACAGTCCAAAAACCTGCATGTTAGGTTGATTGGACATTCCAAATTGCCCTTAAGAGTAAACGTGAGTGTGCGTGGGTGTGCGGTCCAGGATGTACGCCGCCTCTCGCTCATTGACCACTGGGATAGGCTCCAGTTCCCCCAGCGACCCCATTAGGGTATAAGCAGTAATGATAATCCCTCCCCCCCCAGCCGGCCGAGGCAGATGCCTCCCCACCCTGAGCCATGGTTCTGCTCCAGGTTTCTGCCTGTTAAAAGGAAGTTTTTCCTTGCCTGTGTCGCCTAGTGCTTGCTCATGGTGGGAATTGTTGGGTTTCTGTAGTTAACTTCAGAGTAGGGTCTGACCTGCTCTGTTTGGAAAGCGCTGTGAGACAACTGTTGTTGTGATGTGGCGCTGTATAAATAAAATTGAATTGAATTGAATGATAATGGATGGATGTTCGACAGCCTATTACCAGATAACACACATAAAGAAACTTACATTTTCAACAATGAAGGTCCAATCCTTGTCTTCAAACTCTTCTGCCATAGGTTCCTGTTAGTAGATAAATAACTGTATCATGAACTTAGCGCTACCAGTTTGTGATACCAAGCAGACAAAAGGCATAAAAATACAGTTCCCAAATTAAATTCATATCATTTGAGTCACAGCCAAGAGTAGATAGGAATTTGCAGTGTGTGACTGGTTTGTGATATAATTACATTAAGTTTGCTGCGGGTCTCTTAGCATAGATTGAAAACTATTGACTAACACAATGTGAAAAACTTTCAATAAAAAAGGCGATAGATTAGTTAGCAGTGGGCAGCTGCTAAAGCCATTTGGTAACATCAGACATTTATTTGTTATTTGTTTATCCAGACTATATCCCTCTGTTATCAAGTTGCTTGTCTCACATATGTAACAAATTATCAGTTTTTGTGCAACCAGTTATCGCATAAAATCCTTAACCATGAAAATATGAGAGGGGGTGGGGGAATTTCAGAAATGTGGATTTGTTTTCAAGAGTTTAAAAAGTTAATGTTGTGAATCGACATGGAAATAAGGTCAGATTGATCTATTTTGCTATTTTTGTTCTGCAACTGCTACTGTGAACCCACCACACAAGAAGAGCAAATTGTTATCCGTATTGTGAGAAAGGACCAAATCTTGGATAGGCATATGGCTTTGCAGGCCTTTAAGCCTGACCTTTTAACAGGACTGTGTCAAAATACACAAGACACCCAATTATTTAAAATAATAAAGAGAAAATTACATATCTAATCCAATGGTCATACCTTGAAGAGTGTGACAGTGATGTCTAAATTCTCTGGAACCTGCCAAAGCACCGATCCTCTGTTGGGGTACTTCATATCTGGCTGCCAGCAGAAGAGCTGACAGAAATGTGAAAAAAAAACAAGGGATTCTGCCTCAAAATGACTTGAAATGACCTTTTAATGGAGAACATTTAGTTGTTTGTCAGCATAGTTAGTATCCCCATATTAATGGTTAGCAGTTACGATATGTTAATACCACATAAGTTGTTGATGTAAGTCATGGACAATAGAAAGTTTTCATGAAGCAACACACTCATTTTGAGCTCTGTCTATTTCCATTTTGGATTTGATTTACAATTATCAAGCATCAAAAGTAAATAGAATGAATATTTCTTTAACCCCTTCCTTTCAATTTGTAAATCATCCCTTTGGGTCAGATACTACAGAACTTTAACATGAATAACCACAGTTATGCAGACAAAACACAACTGTATTTGTCTCTGTCACAAAACAACTGCAGCCCAGAAGATGTACCGTGTCAGTATCTGGAGGAAATAAATATCTGGATGAGAGACAATGTTCTACAATTAAAGTAAAAAGTGAGAGAAAAGGGTCAGCATGGGAAAACATCTGGAGACTCAGGCTCTTACGATCACTGACCAGGTAGGTAACCTTGGAGTGCTCAGATCTGTCTTTTTACCAAGTCCGAAAGAAACTCATCCATGCGTTCATCTACACTGGATTACTTTAAAGCTCTTTTAACTGGACTTCCCAAAAACAGCTACAGATGTTTAATCTTTAGCTCACCCAGAGTTGCAGTTGGAACCAGGAGATATGAACACATCACACCAGTTTTAAAATCTTTACACTGGATCGCATTCGGGACCAGGTGAAACCCTGAAGGTGATTGACAAATTATATATATATATATAGTTGTATATTCAAAAGAATAGCACTCCAATGTGACTAACCAGATTAACCCAGGTTTTTCTAATACTTTTATAATGCTAGATGGCAAATTTACCATTAGTTGCAGTAGATTCTCAAAAAACCAACAAGACCCAGCATTCATGATATGCATGCAATGTGCAATTAGTTGACATTAGTTTTGTTTGTTAACAAAAATAGCCGTGTGGCATTCAGTAGGTGAAGTCATCAATTTTGTGAATGACCAGGTGTGATTCAGGTGCCCCCTATTTAGGGATGAAGCCAGCACTTGTTGAACATGCATTTCTCTTTGAAAGTCTGATAAAAAATGGGTCTTTCAAGCACTGTGTGGTGAAAAGTGAAAAGTGTTCAAATAAATGTTTTACCTTTGTAGTATAACGTCTGTTTCCTCTTATCCACACCACTCTCAGTTTGTCTGGTTGCCTGCGTAAAAGAGAACACAAATGCATTTTAGTGAACCAACACATACATCTCAATAAATTGCCATGATTTCATCACTACAGACTATAATCTGGAGCATATGTATAACAGTTATTCAATTGAATAAATCTTCTGTGTGTACTGATGAAGTACTCAAATATTGAGTAAATTGAGTAATCAAACCGTCAGAGGCAATTCTAAATTGTATAGTCATTGAGTGCCAAATTCAGCATGCTTCCATCTCTTCCATGAAACATGACTGAGAAATTTCACTCATCCTGGAAATGCAAAAAAACTATATATTTTTCCATGAGGTGATAAATGCAACAGGATAACAGTTTCCTTGACCTTTCCAGAAAACTGGAAATTGTGGCACAGATGTATCGCATGGCTACACATCTGCATGAGGCATTTATGAATAAGAAAACAACTAATCAGGCCGATGGATGAGCAAATGCTATTGGAATTCAATACAATGGAATCTGTGTAGCTCAACTGGTAGGATGGGCAACCATGTGTAATGAAGGTACCTGCAGTAGCTGGTTGATTTAAAATCTTGACCAGTAACCCTATTTTAATGTTGATGAACTTAACTGAAGCCAAAGCAAATCTCAATTCAATTAAGTCTACCATAATGTGAAGCAACATTTGCCATTGATCAATATCTTGAATCAAATCTTCATCCGCTGTTCATAAAAACAAGTTTTGAGGAAATTTGACAGCAACATCATGTATTTTCCTAATATCGGTAATGATGTGTGAACCAATTCAAAAAGGAAATTAGCTTCTCTCAGCTTTTTTAGAAGTGGATGGGGTTTCAGCTTCACTCAGTTTTGCACAAGGACTCTTCCACATGTGGCCAAACCACTGGCCCTACAATCAGTGAGCAACCGCTTTTTCCTCCTGAGTCATAGCCAACATAATCTGTATCGCATTGCTGATAAACTCCACCTACTTCACAACGAGTTGATGAATCTTTATTAGATAACTGCTTCTTTAACTTTTAAGTCACAGCGTCAGTGGATCCACATTAATACACTTTTTTCTGACGTTTTCTCCATATAAACCGAAGAAATCAGTAAATGTTGAAACTTGCATTTATAGTTTGAGGGTTGATGTTTTATCATATTTTATACTATACTTAAATTATTTTGTTATTTACTTAATATATTAGGAAACTTTATAAATACAAATTTATTGAAAAAGAGTAATTAAACACTGAAACAGTCAGTCTTTATTCTGCAGTATTATCCCAACTGTATAACAATAGGATATCATGCTGGCATATGACAGCATCAGTTACAGTTGAATGTTGTTAAAAAACACAGTTCGACATCAGAGAGATTACATGGGACACATTATGTCAAAGTTGTGATTTTTTTGCCCTTATGCCTTCCTTTTGCCTTATGATTTATGATTTATGACCCCTGGGGTCAAAGGTCACCAAAAGAACGTGGAAAGGGGGGTGTTAAAAGGTTCTTAAAAATATATAAATGTGTACTGTACTTGTTTTTCTGACTTACGGGCCATAAAAAGCTCAGATCTGGTCTAGCGAGATACAGGGAGCATACGAGACAAAATGCCAGAACGAAAGTGCAGCTTCACAGAGGAACTTTACAAGTGGGACAAAAAAGATCTATACTTAGCTTAGAGCCTTTTTGTTTGTTCAGTTTGTATCGTTTTGAGACGGTTTCATTCATTACCTTAAGAGTGTATTAAGAGGTATTTTGTTGAAGCTGTTTTCTAATACAATAGAGGTAATATTTAGATTTTTTATTTAATTTATGTATTTTAAAGGAGGGCTATATTTTTGTTACTGGTTGTTACAGATTGTGTTTTACTACCAAAGTTATTTTTGTATCATTGAGGTTGTCACGTCTGGGGGAATTTTTGGTGTTTTGTTCTTTCTCTATGGTGGTCTTGTCATTTCCTGTTTTTATTTTGAAAGAGACATCCCCTTGTTTCACGTCTCTTGCACACCCCTTTTTCTTTTATTTAACTCAAGTGAGTATTATTTTGTTTCTTTGTTTCATAACCTTTTTGCCTTCCTCGTTTAAGAGTGATTTTGGTTTCATACTTTGTTCATAGTTTTGTCTATCTTGTTTTGTACTTTGTTTCCACTCCTTGCGAGTACGCTTTTGGTTCAATTAAAAACTTTTTTGCCAAGATCTCTGCGCCTGAGTTCTGCCTTGAGTTCCATTTCTGACAGAGGTATAATAAAGCATGTTCATTCAAATGTGAGAAGCCTGTCTGAATCCGTCACGAGGCTTGGCAAAGTGTCCTCCTTTTTGGAAATCAAAATATGGTCACCCTGCATAAACCATTTTTTGTATATGCCTGGCATTTTCTTTTTTGCACCAGTAACTAAATGGCTTGTCATTATAACCGTTTTCACAGAGCCAAGCCCACTTCCAATTACTGCCTTCCTTCAGTAAAAGCGCATCCATGTTGCCAAAACCATGTGTTCATTTGATATTGGCCCATCTTTCTTATAGGAAAATCTTCGGATGTGCTCTTAAATTCAAATGGACCTTGACATTTATTTAGTAACAAAATCCAGGCCGGAGATAATGTCAATTATTTTAATATTTTAATTAATCAAATTCAAATATTTATTGTGCGGAGCCAGGCTGCTCCGTGGTCCATATTCATTTTTATTTGCCAAATCAGAATGGCCAGACACAAGAATGCCAAGTACGACAACGGCAAAGCATATTCATTTTATTTTATTTTTTTTCAATGCCAGCCACGTCAATTTATCCCATTCAAGCAAGTTCAAACACAGCATATGAAATAAGGCACAAGGCATGATTCCCAAACAAATACTTAATACAAACACTTCTGATAGGTGAAATGTTTTTGCAAATCATATCAGTGTTATAGCCTATAGCAGGGCTATTTATTAAAAATTTAGTTGGGCCAAAAAAGACATTGTCGGCAACCTGTAGGCAGCAGGTAATGAAATATTTTAAAACACCAATGTGTTGTAAAACAAGTTTTATTTCTTAATTATTTCCTTCTTAAACAGGATCACCATAGACACATTGCAGCTCTACGTCAGCGCGCCGCCATCTTAGATGTGGCAGAATTGCCCATAAACTAATAAAAAGAAAGGGACTGAACTTAATAAAGTGCCTTTCTACAACAAGCTTTAAGTTAATGCACCTAATTCACCTATTCATACACACACACTAATATATTTGGGAAACAAATAGGCACCAAAACAACTTATGTAACTTTAAAGTGACGATTATAAATGTTTATTCCTGATGTTTAGGATATAAGTAAGCACCAAACCCAGCGTCTGTACTTTTAATGCAGAGCTTTTTCAGCTACTAATGCGTGGGACACTGTTCTATTGATATGTTATATACATATGTAATATAGATACTGAAATATTGAAATTTAACATGCAATCTGCGTCCATTATAACCAGATCCTGAAAAGTAGACTTTAAGGTTTTCGGAATAAAGAGCACAAACATTTACATTGAACTGAATTATATGAATCGTTTTTATGTTCACATTGATAATATACATACAACTATATATAGATATGTACAGCTATACAATTGCAGACACAACTAATGAAATCAGCACAAAATGGTGGTTGTCAATTCCGAACTGTGTTTCTGAAATGCACCCCCCCAGAAAAAACACATTCTCAGAACTGACCTCAGCTGGACAAACTGAAAAGATCAAGGCCACTTAGACGACTTTGACATCGACCGGTGAACTGATCACCTTTACAACGCTGTCAGATAGAACCATCGGCCCTCCTCTGTTTTTTTAGGGTGAGGAAGTGTAGCTCTGATGATGCAGGTACAGCATCAGACACCAAACTACCACGGCATACATCACAGGTCAGCTTTTTGAGAAGTTGGCCACAAACAAACCCTGTCATTTACACCGGTTCACTGTCTGATCGCTGACTCCGATTCTCCACTTTGCCACATCCAAGATGGCGGCGACGTTGATGTACGAGTCAGCCCTCAATGCGCCATCTGCAGTAATTTTGGACTTCTACACACCTAAACTTCTGTCCTTGTTTCAAGCGAAGAACACCAACCTGCCAGCACCCTACTCTTTGGAAGAGGAGCATCAAAGCCAATAATAATGGGGAAATTATCTGAAATAGCAGTCTCAGATATTTCACAAAAAGAGATGGACAACCCGTAAGAAATAACAAGATCCAATGCGTTCAAGATGGTGTGTTGGTCCATTTACTGACTGAATTAAATAAAAAAGATGCCAAAAGGCTTGCGAATTTGGATGCCAAGGAGTCAGAAGTACAGCAAACATGGATATTAAAATCACCACAAATAAAAAAGTGATCCTGAAGAGGAATAAATTCAGCTATAAACTCAAAGAACTGCTGTATGAAATCCTTGTTATAATTTTGAGGATGATAAACAACAGTACATAACACTGGGGAGTTCAGTGACTAACATTTGCTGATATGGGTTTGTATTAATCCAGTGTTTCCTGTAGATGCTACAGCAACACATTTTGGTGCATTTTGCTGATAAATAAGCATATTTCTAATCATTTGACTGTTTTTACTAATACAGATTAAATCATCAAACATGATCAAGACAGCTACAGAGAACTTCTTAAGGATGCATGTGTCAGAGCATCAGAAGTTTGCAACAGAGGGGAATATAAAATAGCAACTCTGGACTGATGTCATTGGGACACAGGCAGGGTAAGCCATGGACCAAGTAGAAACGAATAAACATTCACGTTCCCAATCATATTTATGGGCAATTTAGAGTCACCACTTAATCTAAAATGCTCCTTTTTGGATGGTGGAACGACGCAGAATGCCATACAGAGATGCTATGTATCAGTTATAGTTCAAACCAAGAAAAAAAAATCAAAACTGGATTGAAATTAAAGTCCACTCAAAATCAATTCATATATCAATTCATATATTCTTACAGCCATTCAGGTAAACTCCTGCTTAATCCTTATAGGGTCATGGGGGACTGGAGCATATACCAGTTCAAATTCATTTTATGCTATTTATTTATTCATTTATTTTGTCATATATATATATATATAGGCTATATTTCCGAAAAGCTATTAATAAAACCTTAAACTTAAAGAAAAATCAGTTGACTCTAACCTAGGGAGAAAAAAATCCACTCAAGCCTAAACATTGTTGGGGTTTGGGTAATGAAGTTGGCTAAGTTGGCGAATAAATCTATAATTATGAGTTACAACAAGTAACCTACTTACCATTTATTTGTGCATTCTATGATCAGTTCTTGAAAGGAAGCAGCAAATTGGAATTTGGAGGCTTTCTTGCCGACCCGCTGGAGTCGCCTCCACACCGACGTCATGGCTCAGCAGAGACTGTTCATGAAAAATAAAAACAGTGCTCTCACTTCTGTGTCCGACTGTTTTTATTCAGGTAATGACAGCTCTTCGCCGCCGTGCACAACTTATACATCCAAAAATAACTGAGACGACATCAAGCCTCCTTTTGACAGATTAGACTACATAAGACGGTGATTTTCAAAATAAAGTCCAGAGTCGGTACATTCAGCCAAAAAGGGAAACAAACAGTCAGGACAAACTCTCGGTTTACGCATTTAACTGGTATCTAATAAGCTATGAAGCAAGTTAGAACGTTTTTATTTTATTTTAAGATAGCACATCCTGCTTCATTTCGGTTTCTTATGACTGATTAACTTTTGCTTTGACAAGTCATACCTTCCTTCCCCAAAGTAATTGAACAATATTCAATACAATCTCAATTTAGTTATGGTTATTTGATGGTAGATATGAACTGGTAGATACCACAATAGATCAGGCATGGTTTGTATTCAGATTGTTAATGCAGTAATTGAGTGATAACCATAAAATATATGTATGCAAATGAGGGCAATATCTTTTAAATGAACATCCAAAGTCAACATCCCAAAACATGCAAGTTAAGAGTGAGTATGGGTATGCATGGTTGTTAATTCTTCTGATGAGCTAGCTACCTGTCCAGGGTATATTGGAATAAGTGGGTGTTAAAAATAGATGGATTGATATTTGGCAATAACATCTTTGAAAATTTGTTTTTTTGTTTCAATCACTGGGACTTGACAAATGTGGTCAAGACTGTAGCATAAAGAATTCATGAAGAGTTAATAGACCAAACAGCAGTTCATTACGTACAAATGTGTTACATTAAAAATATCAAGGTATGAGGGGAAAAACACAAATTACTTCAGAGCCTTTTAAAGAACATTTTTTCTCTGTCCTGACTCCCATACGATCATTTCAATTTAGGGACTATTTCAATTTAGAAGGGAGTCTGTTTCTAACCTCCTCATGTCATAAAGACTAGAGCAGCTGTGAATATAATGTTTTGACCACCTTGCTAAGTGGTCAAAACCACCATGGAGTAAGTTATGAACATAATATTTGCCATTCTGACACAGTGAAATAACAATGGCATTTGTAATTATTCAGAACAGCTCTGACAATAATTCTTAAGCAATTTTCCTCCATCTACTGAATGGACTCCTTGATCTGTCTGTATACTGAAAAAAAAGCATCTCCCTTGATTGCTAAACCCTATATATCATCAAACTGATTTCTCGTTCATGCCTCTGTTGTTGTTGCGTTAGCCTAAGGATAACAACAACAAAAAATAACTGGAAGAAAGGAAGAATTAACCAGGAAGCTGTTAGTTTTTCAGTACGTTTAGTTTGGTAGTATAGCACAAAACTGAAAAGATGCTTACATAATGATGTTCAAAGCCATTATAGATGCAGTCTGGTGAACAGACAATACACTGAAAATTAGCAAAGGCTTTGCAAAGAGACCAAAGTTGAATTTGACGCCTAACTTTCACTACCATTTAATAGTTCTGCGTCTGATGTGGTGAATGATGCACAATAAAGGTGTTTAAAAAAGGAGTTATTTAGCATTAAATAAGGGTGGCCATTATGTTTTTCTGTTTTCTGTTGTAATGAGGGTAATGTTTTGTTGGCTTTGTGTGTGTGGACATGAATGTTGCTTCCCCTGGTTGCAGCGTTGAAGCAGCAACCCCCCCCCCCCCCCAACTGACTCTCACATCACAACATACTGTCACAAATTCTGTTACTTTTGACACTAATATTTTAAATGAAATGTGTCAAAAGTTAGTGTGCAGCTTTGTGAATGTTCGGAAGCAGTTCTGAGAAAGTGTTAACGCCAATTTGAATTTGTAAAAAATTCTTAATGAAAGCAAAACCAAAAACTATATATAATGAACGACTACCCGTCCACTTTAACTTTATCTGGTAGATATAAATGATCAAATTTGGGGATTTTTTAGATCAAGTTTTTGACTAAATCTGCACTTAAAAAGTTCATTCTCATGCGAACATTTTTCCTGCAAGTTGTCACATTATTTGTAAACATGTAACGTCAAATTTACTTTACATGTCCGTAAATTCCAGTTCCATGTGTTTGTCATCCCTTTACAGCAAAGAATAACGACGCAAGTTCAGATTTTTGTCATGCTCGTATTGTATTGTGCAATTTCTCACATTATATTCTACTAGTTTGTTTGTTTAGTCATATTTTCATTTATAAACCTCTCCTATTTTAAGAATGTGGCAGCAACAAATGCCCAGTTTTGTTGTTTCTGTGATCATCAATGGCTTAAATTCCCACTACACAAACCAACACTGCAGTCCAGTGCTGAATCTCAGACAGTATATTTTCTCTGATGTCTTTCATTGTTGGGTTGAGCGCGTGTTGCATATAAATGATCTCACAGGCTGCTCGCTCTTTTTTATCTGTAAGATTTTCATTAGTAAAGGAAAATCCCATAAACCGAGCCATGGCAAGGCGAGCCCAGCAGGGTTGGTCTGATTAGATACTGAGGTACAGCTTCTCAAACTATGGGGCATGCCCCTACAGAGGGTGATCGTGGTGACGCAATAAACAAAACTAGCCGGGAAACATGGACAGATCCAGAAATAAATTGACAATGACTAAACACCAACGCTCAGGGTCAGAAAACATGATGAGTCATATCTTCCTGTAAGTCAGACCTGTCTTTGTCATATGTCTGAAAACTCGCACGGCTAAGAGTATTAAACTAATATTAACCACTTGAATTCTTTTATAGAAAACTTTAATTATACAGCAGGCAGGTAAATCATTTAGAAAAACAACAGTGAGCGTGTTTTGGTATTTTCCAAGTAGGCATGACAGAAAGTCAAAAAGTTCCCAGCATAAGCATCACTGCTAAAGTCTTACATAATCAACTGAACTCAAAATCAGATATGCCATGACTATTTAAATTGTTATTATTCTCACAAAAAAAAGGAGAATGCATAAATACTGTCCTTACTTTAAGGACAGTATTTATGCATTCTCATTTATTTGTTCTGTTGTCCCATATTTCCATAATTAGTTCAATTTTAAGGGTATATTCTCAATACGAAGATATTCAGGAACTCGCTTTAAGAGTAGCTGCCCATAAGTGTAGTGATTAAGCTAAACTCAGACAGATTGCAAATTGCAAATTTCTATATAGCTCAACGACATCAAAAGTCCTTAGCTCTAAGTTGGGCCATAAGCCATTTCCAATGGAAAACATTTTTACACGGCTGTCTATGTTTTGACTGACAAACAGACATGTTTTTTTCTAGTTATTATTTTAGTTATTTTTATTAACAAAATGACTCACAAATCTAGGCACAAACATTTTTGGGTGAAGGTCCTTCTGCAGAGTGACATGCACTTGAGATTAGAGTAATCAGATCCTTGCAGCATCATGCCTCACATTTCCTTATGACCTTTGTAAATATAGCCTGGCTTACACAAACACCTGTGAGCTGTCCGTCAGAAGCTCACTGAGGGCAACAGGAACTAAGAACAAACATCACCGTATGACTAAGGGTTAAAGAAGAGATATGATGTAACTGTCAGCACTTCATCCACACGTACCCCTGAACCGAATGCAGATAACTTGATATTATCAAATGATCAAGCTGTTTTTGTTTATTGTAACCCAACCATGGTGACGGTAAGTATAATGTCCTTTATAATGTTTCCATATACATACGTATATTATTAAAAAAAAGCTTGTCATGATCACACATTTTAAAACCGTCTCCCCAAGGATTTACACCTGATTAATTTTAGAACAGCCAATTCCCCCCATGAAGTGGGGAGTGGGGACTTTAAGTTTCTGTTGCCACTTCACTGAGTGCCCCCACAACAACACTCTCAGGTTCATGAGGATACTTCTCCATGATGATAAGAGGGAAGAATACCAAAGAACATACATTTTTTTTAAAACAATTAACACAAGTGGGGTAAATCTGGAAAATGTTTTTAAATATTAACAATATATTAAAAAAAACATTAAAACATTTAAAAAAAACATAAAATGCAATTAGCTGAATAATAAATATTTCCCATTTGTGATCATCCCCAACTCCGTCTAACAATTTAACCACAGACAGGAGGAGGAATGTAAACTTTCTTAAAATTAGGGTTGTAAATCCATGCTAGACCTAAGACCAGTCTTGGAGTCTTTTCTTGAGGGAAAAAGAGAACAAAAATGTATTCAAAAAGACCTTTGCAAAGTAAGAGCACACCTATGCACTGTACAGTCGTTAGCAAAAGAGAATGACACAAATATTATATTTTCAAATGATCTGCTGCCTCAGGGTTTTTAGGTGTTGCTATCAAATGTTTCTATGGTATACTGAAATCTAATTAAAGGCATTTAATAAACATCAACATCTTTTATTGACAATTACCCTGAGGTAATGCAAAAAGTCAGTGTTTGCAGTGTTGACCCTTCTTTTCCGTGACCTCTGCAATTCTCCCTGGAATGCTGTCAACTTCTGGACCAAATCCTGACTAATGGCAGTCCACTCTTGCATAATCAATACTTGTTTATCAGAATTCCTGGAGAGCACTCAACTTGTCTTCTTCGAACTAACTTTTTTCCAGATGCCCCAAACAATCAGAAAGGGAATTCATCAGAGAAAACGACTTTACCCCAGTCCTCAGCAGTACAATCCCGTACCTTTTGCTAAATATCAGTCCATCTGTGATGGTCTTTTTTTCTGGAGAGAAGCGCCTTCTTTGCTGCCCTTCTTGACACCAGGCCTTCCTCCAAAAGTCTTAGCCTCACTGTGCGTGCAGATGCATACACACCTGGTTGCTGCCATTCCTGAGCAAGCCCTGCACTGGTGGTGAACCAATCCCGCAGCTGAAACAACTTTAAAAGACGGTCCTGTTGCTTGCTGGACTTTCTTGGGTGCCCTGTAGCCTGTTAGGCAACAGTTGAACATCTCTCCTTGAAGTTCTTGATGATCCGATAGATGGTTAACTTCTTACTAGCTGCTATATAAACTTTCCTATTAGGCCCTTTTGTGAAATGCAACCTTGCAGGTAACCATGGTCAACTGTAGAGAAACAATGATTAAACAAGCACCATCCTCCTTTTAAAGTGTCCAGTCTGTTATTCTAATTCAATC